GCGAAAGAGTATCAATCTTTCGCATATGTCGGCATGTTGCGTGATTTTCGGCCCAAGGTCTGTATGCGCCGACCAACAGCTGATATTAATATTTGGGCCAAAGTTCCTCAGTCACAGCGGGATAACCACGTAATATTCACTGACGTTTAACAGGCAGTCAGTAGTATATGGTAGCCATAGAGATTTCGCTGCATATAATAGCTGCGAGGGGTTCGGCTCATCAATGGGTCCCTTGGCGTTCTCGTTGTGGTTAATGGACTTCGGCCCAAATCTGCATATCAACTTAATTCACACCGATTAATTTCGAGTTAGCGATTAATTTCCGAGAAACTTCAAAATACAAACACGAAAAACAACGGGACCCATTGATGAGTCGAACCCCTCGCAGTTGTATCATATAGTGGCAGAATATGGGCATTCTTCTAGCCCGATTCCTTATGAAAAGGAAAGAAGTGAGACATCAGTTTAAGGGAATCTTTTTTTCTGTACAGAATTAATGGAGAATTAGTAGGCGGGAGTTGACTGTTGAACGAACGTAGGTGTGTCCGCGAGGAGGCCGAATCCGATGCGTGTGAGCGGGACAATTATCACAGCGTCCGGAAAGCGGTCTTTGTGTGAGTCAGCCTTGAGCTGATTGGCCAGGTTGGTGCAGGCTGGTGCATGCGCACTTGTTAGCAGCCGCAAGAGTTTGAGCGTTGGCGCAGTTTGCGACACCTGTGATTAGCTGTCCCAGAGACGGGTCGAGACCTGCAGTCACGTGACTTCATGTATGGTGTGGCGCGGGAGGTGAAAGATGCCACAGGGTCACTACAGATTTTTTGGTATCCGGTCGTTGTTTTATTTCTCTTGGTAATTTGATGTGCTTCTAAATTTCATGATTTCTAAATATTTTTCCTTTTGCGTCTCGAGACGTTTTTGTAGAAAAGTTGGAATTTCGAGTTGCAACTAAAATGCACATGTTCTCCTGTTTCGCTGCGGGACGTATGTAAACATTCCTTGTTGTCTTTTTAAGGTCCACGCGAATTGCCGTCTGCGGAGGATATTCTTCAGCGATCGTCTCTATAAAGAATCTGAGCTTCCGGCTGAGTTCAAACTGTACCTCCCTGTTACCCAAGCTAAGGCTGAAACGTGATGAGGCTGTTTTGGAAGAAATGAAACATTCTTACTTTATTCAGAATTCTGCTCAACCCTCCTTTCCCGTTGCTCGTAATCAGCTGCCTTTTCTGTGCGGTGGTAGTTTACCAGATCCCAGGACAACTGCCTTACTGTGTCGCTTATTCCCCCTTATACGTGGAATACTGGGGATGGGATCCATTTATATACATACATATCCTTGCGCACGTATTTTGCTGGGTATCTAAGGCTTTCTTGAATCATCCTATTTTTACTCAATTAAGAGACTTCAAAATAGGCATTACGGCTGAAATCGCCCCCACCGTTAAGCTTTAAATGTCACCTGTGTCTGATGGACAGAAAGCCTTTCACCTACTTCGGAAATCGAATCCTCCAGTTCTCTAGATGTTTGGGTAGGGTCCAAGCAATTTATAAGCGCGCATTATACGTACACAGAATACTGACTCACTTGAGTTATCTCCCCTCATCACGTTCCGTATGCGCCGAAGCTTGCAAAAGACTGACCGACATCCGTAAATGTAATGTCAAGAAGAATTGCCTAGACTGAACTGCATTATGTGTACCTTAAGGATTTTTACACGAAAATCCCTGTTACGCAAACGCAGCTCGCCCCATGTCACCCAAAATCTTATAGCAGTAAAGTAATGGTCATTCTCCAAAGTAAGGCATATTGTGATTTATCAAGTAATATTACATTGTTTAGAAATACCAGCTATTTTAGAAAGTGGAATTATCGAAAGAGTGGAAATCGGGCGTACTAGGTAAACTTAAGTTTTACATTTAGGGAAAGCCTGTTCACACAAAAGGCGGGTAAATAAAGCAGCACAAGTAGAATTTCGTTGGAAAATAATCGTTTTGTAAAATTTTCTCATACGTATGCTTCCATATTATGCGCAATGCAAAGTATAACTGTTACCGAACAGCCCAAAGTTCGAGCATGTATTCCAACAGGGTTTCATGAGGATTGTTAGTTGTTTGTTCCGTTTATAAATTGTTAGAGTTACTGTGGACGAAAGCAACCAGATTTTCGCTTGATTACGCTGATTGGCAAGTCAACGGAGTAAGGTGTTTCGTGAGCTAACGCGCGTACATGCCGGTCAGTGACTAATTAACTTAAATGGAATTGTCAGGTTCAATCGTAAGCATGTCATTTGTGTACACTAAGAAAAATTTCCTTCCATCACATCTCTTTGTAATTATTTCGGAATTTCGATTAGGACGAGGTTCAAATCATTCCTGAAGTGGTGGTTAACAGCGAGATTGTCAGTGATTTCAGTCGATGGTCCATAAATGAGAATTATGTTCTATATGATTATCAAAACCTTCAAATTAAGATATTTCTTAAACGCTTTTACCTAAATAGTGAGGTTTTAGGCATTCTTTATAAGGTAACTGTGTATTTGTGTTATTGTTTTAGAATCACCCAAATATATCAACTCATTACCGAGAATAATGGACGTTCGCAACAAAATTCAGATATTAATATGTCAAAGATCAATTAAAAGGCTTTCTATGATAAGTTACCTCTTAAAATAGCGCTTTATTTAGATATTTTGGCTTCAAGTTTCTGCGTAATTTACCTTTTTCGAGGATTAAGTCAAGATAAAAGTGGCAAAGTGGGACCGGTTTTTGACTTCTCTGAACATTATGAATAAATAGTATGCTGCAAATAGAAGAACTCCCTTTTCTGTGCCTACTGGAACACTCTTTAGTTTACTTTTAGACCCCTTTCTAAGATTGCAAAAGCACAAGGGACGGGCAGAATGTATACTACGATTTTTCGAGAACGGAGGATCATCTGCCCATTCCGTTTAACGTTTTGCTGTTTGTTCATACTGAACTGTAGAGGGAAAACGTTTCGACATCTTTTGCATACGGCTTGTAGCGACTAACTAGAGTTAATGCCTACAAAACGTGTTAAAAACGGTGTAGCGCAAAACCAACAGAGTAGCAACTAAACTATTACTGACTACTACGGCAATAGAAAAAAAGGAATAAAAATGTGTTAAGGGATAATGCGATACAAACTCACAAAATCCCGATTACAAGGTTAGGTGCGAGCTTCCTGGTGAGCTTCCTCGGTGTCAGAGCCTGAGAAGTGCGCTGGTAAATCCCTCTGCGGTCTCCCCGTCTGTGCTAATATTGCAGTCTATTTTGTCTAGCCGAACTTTAAAGGACGACCGCCCTCAATCTTGGATTACATGTCAGTCTTTGGCTAATTATGACACAAAATAGGGAAAACTGTTCGTTCCTTCCAAGACTGTCGCCCTGGGACAGAACTCGCTAAGCAGTTTTTGTTGGAGAATACACGCACTCAAAACACGCAAGACACTCCGATCCGCAATTGGTTCTACAGAGCAGCCTCTAGAAAGACGAAGCACTTGATTTTTAATGTAAGTCTCATGTAGGGCAGCATTGAACTATGTGGAACAGAATTCCTTCAATGTGGTCATAGGGTTTGGGTTTGCTTTCGGGCTCCGGTACTCCAGCTTCCTAGCTTTAATAGAATAATGGCTACTTTTAGGCTGCTAGTAGGCAGAAATAAACGCATGTCACTGGAAGGCAGGTATCTACGCTGAAAGGTCGGGCCAGCATACTGCGCTCTCATCTGTATTCTCCAAACAAGGACACACTCTATTACTGTGTAATGGCTAGGTACAAAACGCTTTCCATTTAGAGTGTCTGATGATCGACTCTCGCATTGTACGAGACGTTGGCGAATGCGGTCACTGTTTCGATGACCGACTTCTCTGCAATAAGAACCTGTACTTCAAATCATCAGCTGTACATTACCCTAGTATCTGTTCAGCACTAGAAAAAAACAGGTCATTACCTTACGAGATGCTAGACATTGTGAAGTGTCCGGAAGACTATCTTCTCGCTTACAGTGGCTGTTCCCACACCAAGAAGGTAACTCTTCACAAACAGTGCTATTATTTACCATCTGCATCTAATATACAGCTGCGAATGCTTCCGGCCTTATCCAAGGGATATGTTTTGTAGGAAACATGAAATCATCAGTTGCAAATACTAGTGTCTCAACGAATGCCTTTACATTCATAGGGATATCGGCACATTTAAAACCACCGGGTAAATACCGCTGTTTTTGCGTAGGAAGTTGCTCAAAAGTGCCGATGTTCTTGTTCCACCCCAATGATGGCCTAACTCCCTACTGAAGAGCGAGTTTTGTAATGGGTTCATCGTTGGGTATAAGAGCGTCCAAGATACCTAAACACTACTTTTTAATTTACTTTTCGATTAACAGAAGAGATTAAAGTGTAGACCATGCTGTGCAATAGGAAGGCACAAGTCTTTTTTACGCAAGGATCCTTATACTCACTCAATGAGCATCAAGTGAATCTGGAAAATGATCGCAACAGGACATGCAAACAAGAATATCCCATAATATAGGTGGTTTTGCGTTAAATTCCAGGAAAATCAGAGTTACGGTTAAGGTGAGTTAGGGATGGAGTAGAAAAAAGAGCTGTGGTTACGGTTTGGGTTAGGGTTAGTATCAGCCTAAGGACAGGGGCATAATTAATATTCTGCAATTTAGTGCAATGCCATCTGTATTACATCGGCGATATCCCTGTTTCATTGTCCAAGACAAGGGAGTTGGTATATATAACAATTCTAACCTGCACTTGTCCCTGTTTCAGTAATACCTCTGCATATTTAAGCGAATTTAGAGTGTATTGGCTCTATTTTGCCAGAAGTGCAATGCACGGTGAAATAATACAGAAATACCAACTGGTCCTCGGAAATATTAACTTCTGTTTTTTTGTATTCCAGTAAGAGTGCAAGCAGAAAGCTTCTTACAGACAGCCATTTTCAGCAAAGCAACGAACTCAACGACTGTGAATTAAAACAAGCATTAGCCATTCGCAAATTGACGAAGTCACCGGAAGAATAGATAAACAGGAGGGAAATGAACTGCAGTGTGTCGCAAGCGAATTCACGGAGGGCCCATTTTATCGAAGTTCAGCCCGTTAGGAACGGCATTTATAGAAGTTTCTTCAACCAGTTTCAGTGGTCTAGTTTAGGAGCCATAACAATTATGCCCACGCTAAATTTGTGGCACACTTTGTACAATGCCAAGAAAGATATAGAAGCAAGGGAACCCGCCTAACCTGGTCACCGTGCGGACTTCTCCAATTGACCTGTCACCGTTCTTTAATTTTACACATCTAGCAGACCAACAATAAGGAAAATGAATAGAAAACCTCAAGGTTAATGTCAGATGCGGTGACTACTTATCGCATTTAGTTAATGGTGGGATGGATCTCCACCATATCATTTTTGCCCTTTCGCAGTTCCTATGAATAGTGCAAAATTGTCCCATCACCAC